GCTGACCTTATCAATGCTGTCGCCTCACGCGTAGAATTGCTGACTTAATGAAGGTGTTCGGCCTCATCGTTAGGTTAGGTGAAGTTAGGTTAGTATAGGAGAGGAGAGGAGAGGAGAGGATGGGATAGGACAGGATAGGATATTCTCTCTCTCTCTCTCTCTCTCTCTCTCTCTCTCTCTCTCTCTCTCTCTCTCTCTCTCTCTCTCTCTCTCTCTCTCTCTCTCTCTCTCTCTCTCTCTCTCATAAGCAGGGCAGCGCTATATTACAAAATCCCTTAAGCTTGTAGCAAAATGAGCGTCACTGAATTAATTGCAAATAAAAACCAAGGACTATATAATAAAATTCAGATACAAGTGAACTGACCGCTTGTGAATTAAGGGGTGAATAAGTGGTCCTTAAAAGCCTTAGAAATGAGTCGTTAGGAGTGGTTGCCAGTTCAGATTTCATAAGTAACGAGAATCCCATTACCTATATATTATCATCAGCCTACGGAATGCTATGATTATGGCATTTAACCAAACATATATTCAGATTTACTGTTGAATACATCGCACAAATCATACCTGGACGAATGGTACTTGATATTGTACGCCTAAACAATATGGCCAGGCAAAAATCCATAGAAGACTCTTATTCATACTTCTTAATTAGGCACAGGTGAATATTAAAGGACATATATGTTTTGTATTTATTTGTGACATACGTGTGTACTTTTTTCAAATATATAGATTTATGTTTATCCATTAGATGATTTGCTGTATTTTTATGTCCACCTTCATATTAAGCTAAATGGAATTATGCATGCATCAAGCATATTCAGCGAAGCAGGAAAGCAAGTAATTAAAGTCTCTTGTGAAAAGTGTCATCAATTAAGAATTCGCAAAGCTGTCGAATATTCTGATTTTCTCGTTTAGCATTTATTAATATTTTCGTCATTTTTGCAATGTGACTCAATATATAAGCTCTGAAATGCAAAACTGAAATGTCTATTAGTCTTTCATGCACAAGGGTGACTGTAATAAATACTTTAATTCTTAAAACAGGATTAAAATGACAACAATGAGCGTCATTAGGAATTTCCCCTTCAAATACCTGTTACTTCCTTATCTATACATATTTCTATATCTATATTTGTTTTGCATGCACTCTCCCTGATTGTTTCCTTTCTAATTTTGATATGATTTTCACTTGCAGCTTTTATCATAATTAATGCTCTCTTTCCTTCATCTCTCTTATAACTTCCCTTTCTCTCTCTGTGTATTTCTGTCTTCCTAGCTTCACTTATTTTTCTTTTCCCTCCCATCTCCATTCTTCTTTCTTGTAACTTCCCTTTCTCTCTCTGTGTATTTCTGTGTTCCTAGCCTCACCTATTTTTCTTTTACTCTCATTCTTCTTGTAACTCCCCTTTCTCTCTCTTTGCATTTTTTGTCTTCCTAGCTTCACTTATTTTTCTTTTTCCTCTCACTTCCTTCTTCTTGTAACTTCCTTTTCTCTCTCTATTATTTTGTCTCCTACCTTCACTTATTTTCTTTTCCTCTCATCTTCCTTTTTCTTTCTTGTAACTTCCCTTTCTCTCTCTATCTTCCTAGCTTCATTTATTTTCTTTTCCCTCTCATCTTCCTTCTTCTTGTAACTTCCTTTCTCTCTCTGTGTATTTCTGTCTTCCTACCTTCACTTATTTTTCTTTTCCCTCTCATCCCTCTCATCTTCCTTCTCTCTCTCGCTCTTTTTTTTTTATCCCTTCCTTCTTCGACAACCCTCTTTCCTCTTTTAAAAAGTCATTCGAGCTGTTCTTGCGGATGCTGTTTCCTTGCATCAGCGCCAAGGAATTCTAAACCGACATCAGATAGAATTCTGGATCTCTTCGGATGTTTTAGAGCTTCTCAAAAACGTCTCAATAATCTTCTTTCAGAGCTTCCTTGATTAAATTTGCTCCCGACTTTTTGATCTTCGTAATCTTTTCATTTATTTATGCTTTTATCGTCTCTTTTGATGTCATCACCTGATTATGATGTATATTATCACTGTGATATCTTTTCAGCGATTATCATTATTATATGATGATAGTCATTTTCATTTTCATGGCGTCTTGCATAATTTTCATAGGATATTTATTCTAATGTAAAGTTTAGGTGAATCATGACGGTGTATTATATGGGATGGCGTCTCTCATCTTTTATTTGGCAGAACAGAAGTTTTTAGTTCGTTGAGTAAAGACGAGAGTGATAAAAAATAGCAGTGTGAAATGAAACCAGAAGCAAAAAGCAAAGCTACATACGTATTTGGTTAAATATTCAAATCGAAATGAATGATTTGAATAATGGGTTCAAGAAAAAAATGTAAAAGAAGAAAGAAAGGAAAGTCTGGGGGTATTAGTTTACAAAATAACCAATAAACAGATAATTGCAATGCAATCTGCACTGACATGTATCCTGTTTCTGCTGTTGTTTTACAGCTTTTGCAATATTACAAAGAACACTTAGGATTCATTAACAAAAC